CCTCCCCTCCCCCTCCCCTAGTGCACAAACTCAGAGTCTCCCCCAACCTCTGGGGCCTGGATGACTGACACCCCTCCTCCTGCCCCACCCATGTTGTTTCTTCTCAGCTCTAATTGATATTAAAATGTATCCCTGCTCACTTTGCAGTTAAAAGGAAACTGCGGCTGTTAGGGAGGGCCCTGATAACATCTTAGTTGAACCTCGGGGAGATAGATTCCCGTTAGGTCATCCCCCGCCCTGCCGGCGACACTGACAGCTGTGGAGCTCCTGGCTTTGAGGAGCTGTTTCCTGAGCAGTCCTCCCCCTACACCCCCCACTAGAGAAAAGCACGACCCCAGGAGACACTGTCATCCTCCTATGGGAATGGTCAAGGTCAAATGTGGCCGGGAAGGGCCATCATGACCCCCCGCCCACCTGTACCTCCAAGGCAAAGTCACAAAGGTGTCAGCGCTGCCTCTTGTGGATTTGCAGCGGGAGATCTGACTCTATACCCTTTCCTCTGGCTTTCAGTCACCGAAGCCCGAACCCCCAGGAACATCACCTGCCTGCCTCTCGGGTCAGCCCCACCCTAGCCTCCCCCCCGCCCCGCCCCCGGCCTCAGTGTCCCACAGGCCGCTCCCCGAGGCTGCCCCACACACAGCTTTTCTGAAACAGTCTCAGCCAGTAGAGGAAGAACCAGACAGCCTGGTGCCTTGCCTCGCTCCATCCGCTCCAGAGCCCTGCATTCACCCACCAGCCCCTACACTTGACCTCCTTGGAGTCCCCAGGAAGCAGCAGCCGCCTTCTATTCCCTGAGCCGTGTCCTCCCCTCTCCCGAGTGTCCCCCCTCCTCTGGGCTCCAGGCTCCATCACACTAGACTCCGTCTCCCTCCAGCCCCCACTGCCCAACCCTAGTTCCATGGTTAGTTAGTTGCATCCACAGGTTAGTTTCATCTGTGGGTTGTCTCCTGGCTCAATGCGGAGCCTCAGGCCCCTGGGCTCAGCACACCTCAAACATCGAATGGCAGAGAGGCGCCCCATTTCACGCCCTATGCTCCAGGATGAGAAGGGTTTAGGACCCCTGTGTAAGAGCTGAAGACAGTGGGGAAGGTGGGGGGAGGGAGGACCCCAAGAGATCATGCCCAGTAACACCCCTCCTTCCCTTGTTCCGCAGACGATCCAGCCTCGTCATCACCACCAAGATCTTCTGGGGAGGAAAGTAGGTGCAACGGGCAGACCGTGCCCCTGGCCGGGGGCCAGGTCTGCAGAGACCCCTGATTTAGGAGGCCCCTGGGCGGGGGAGGGGGTAGTTATCCTGGGGAAACAGAGGCTGCACGGGGTCTGTCCTGGACCTCAGGAACCTCCTGGAGGACAGCACGTGGGCAGCACAGTTTCCTGTCTCCTGGTTCTGGAAGCAGGGGGCGGGCTGGCATTTGTGCAGCCATCTGCCCTGGCTCGTGCCATCCCTATTGAGGGACGTCACATTCCAGAAAAGCAGCTTTGTCTGAGTTGCCTTGTACTCGAACCTTGTTTCATTTTTATTTTTACTTTTGTGGGTTGGTTGGTTTCTGATTACAAAGGTAACATCCTAAAAATTTCTGGAAAACACAGAAAATTCATGAACTGTCCCAATCACTCCACCTTCCCTGGGCCACAGGCCACTCCTGCCATCCTCCAGGGATCTGGCCCCATATTCTCTCTGGGGCTGGACAAAATGGGCTTCATAGGAATTAGAAATGGGATTCACTTTCAATTTTTAAAAAATCCAAGCCACAAAAGAAAAAAATCCAAGCCAGACAGAAGGGCAAATTGAAAAGCAGAAGCCTCCGTCCCCCGCTGAGCCCCACCTCCCCAGGGTGGCGGGCAGGCAGCCCAGCTCTGCCAGGTCATCTCCACAAGCAAATCCGCATAGCCTCGTGGTTTTATCCCCAAAGTGGAATCAGACTACAAGTGGCATGAGCTGACCTACTTTTGCGTCATGAACATTTTCCCCCAAACCGCCTGCAATATCACACGTGCTGTCGCCTGTTTTTCAGAGCCGAGACGGAGAGGGGCCTTTCCAGGAAGCACATAATAGAAGGTGAGGGGGGCCCTGGCTCCACACAGCCCCCTAAACCCACGGCATCTTCCCGTGGATGCGAAAGTGAAGAACGCACAGTGCCCCTCCCCCACCAATGCTACAGGCTGGGAGCCTGGGGACAGCCCGTGCTCTGGTTCACCCAGGCTCGCATGGGGTGGACCCTCCCCGTCGTGAGGGAGGGGACAGGGGTATGGGTGGGCGGGGCCCGTGCTGCCCTGGGGTAGGCAGTGTTGTCCCTGAGAAGACACAGACAGGCCTGGGTTTCAATCTAGGCTAGGCCCTGTGCCCACCGGCTGACCCTGAGCAAGGGACATCACTTCCCAGGCCTCTGTGGCAGCATCTGTAAAATGGGCGTGGTAAGAATGCCCACATCTAGGGTTAGTGGAATTGGGAAGGACCCAGGTGAGGATGCGTGTCAGACACGGGCTGGGCCTCAGCACACGGGAGCACAGGGGCGGAGGTGCCAGGATGTCTCACTCATCCTGACCTGTGTTGTCTCCGTGCCTCTTCCCCCCACGGTCACTGTCGTCAAGGTAATACAGTCACTCCGTTGACAATCAAATGATTAGGAGGCCTTGCCGCCCGCCCTTCCCCGTCCCCCAGCCTGGCACTTCCTCTCTGCAGCTCTGTTCTGAGCTGCTGCAAAGTACTCATGCGTTCCGGGCCCCACTGGCCTTCGGTGCTGTAGATGATCGACGCAGCTGTCCTCCGTGTCAGGTGGCCTGGCTCTCCCAGTTCCACCCGGGCCACTCTAGGAAGGGCCCCCTCCGTGCAGTCACAGGACATTAGGCCTGTGGACTCCACCCCACCCCCTTTGGGGTGTGCCCCCTCTTCTCTCATGGCTGTTCTCCACCTAGGTGGCCCGTGCCCACAGATGCGCCCTGCCGTCCACAGCTCCCGGTGCCAGGGGCCTCGTCCCTTTCATCTATTGCTCCCTGAGACGCATGCACGCACGAGGGCCCAGGAATGTCTGTGAAGATGGTAACAGTCCTTCCCCACTCCTTTCCCCAGGTCTGAAAGCCTCCCTGGAGCGGCTGCAGTTGGAGTATGTGGACGTGGTGTTTGCCAACCGCCCGGACCCCAACACGCCCATGGAAGGTACGTTCTCCCCGGAAGCACTGACTGCCCGGGAGTCACGGTTCCAAAAAGAGCAGAAAGCTCTGCACCTGAGGCTCTGATGGCACCACCACAGGGCCCGCCGGGCACCCAGGCCTGGGGGTCTGGAGGGTGGGGCCTTCCCCGTGTGGGGAGGGGCGGGGGGGCGGGCCTGAGCTCAGCCTCTGCTCAACCCCTCACATGCACCCCAGCACCTCCGGGCTGAGTCCCATCCTTGCTCTGGGTCCGCGCCCATCCTGGCTTTGAGCTGTGTGCAGTGGTAGCTGAAGTCACAGTATGATGACTCTGCAAGGGCTGCCTTCTCTTCCGTCCTTTCAATCATGGCCCACGTTCTACTGGGAGGGTTTAGGGGACTTTTGCTCTGGGGAATGAACTGTTACTCAGAGGAGAAAAAAAAAGACGTGCAGTGCTTTGAAAAGCGGTTTTGGTTTCTCAGGCGCTTGTTTATTCTTTGACTCCTGCCATCTCAGCCCCCACTATCTCCTCCAACTTTCTGCTTCGGGCATCTTCTCATTTGTGCTTTGCTGCTTCAGGGACTTGGAAAATTCAGTTATGTTCAAGTTACTTTTTCTACATCTGTTTGTATATATACCATGCACCTGTGCGTGTGTATATATACACGTGTGTGTGTGTGTGTGTGTGTGTGCGCGTGTGTGTGTGGTTGGTTTTTTATCCAAACGAGTATTCTGCGAAAAGTGATTTGAGCCTCCGTCCCCGTGCCCTTTGTCAGACTGTGCCCCTCAGCGTCCCCACAGCTGTGAACTCTGGTCTCTTTCCATCTTTCTTTTATCACCAGGGGATCCATTTAGTTCCTCCAAGTCAAGGACATTCATCATAGAAGGTACACAGTACCCTCGGCCCGACAACTGACCTCTGTGTCTGAGCTGCATTTTATGAGACAGTGCTTTTATTTACATGACTCTCTTCCCCCGCCCCCATGACTAAACTTCTCCATAAAATGCACAAAGGAGAAATAAGTGCCTTATGGGAACACCTTGCAAGTGAAGAAAAGCAAAGCGGCGCAGAGCCACGCCGTCCCCCTGGTCCACGCTGTCACCTCATTCCTCCCCTACTCCTGTGCATGCATGCCCCTCCTCGCACTGCCTTGCATTGCCATGACCCGTGACCCGCGGGGCCTCCTCTTGACTTGGGGGTTGCTGTGATCCGCACCAGAAACCTTGACCCCCGATGGTCTGGGAGAGGGCTGGGGGGACCAGGTTCCCACAGGAGCAAACGCATCGGGGACCCCAGAACTTTGGCCCCCGGCAGGTTTTATCTTCTCCACGTTTGCTAAGCTCCCAGCCCAACCAAAAGTGAGGGCACCAGCAACCAGCTGCCCTGCCCACAGTGGTGTGCAGTGCTCCAGTCCCCTGGGTGGGCTGGGCCACCTGTCACTCTCACCCCATGCCATGCAGCCAGAGCTCACCATTGAAATGCAGTTGTTTTCCTCCTTGAAAAATACCTACATGAGCTGGGGAAACTCTGAGACCCGGGGCAGCCTCTGGCCATTGCAGCGGTCTCTGCCCACCCCTAAGCCAAAGGACCCTGGAACCCCACCCCACCCACGAAGGGCAGGCCTTGGTATCGCTGGGAACTGGGCTGTGGTCCACAATGAAAGGGCTCCCGCCTGCCAACTGGCACTGCCACCTGACCCCTCCCATGTATTATTTGCGACGCAGCAGGAGATGCCATGGGTTTTGGCAGCAGCTGGAAGGATTTGGTCCTCCTGCTTCTGTAAAACAGCATTAAATATTGAGGTGGACAGCTGTCCCTAATTGTCCCTGTTTCTGGTGTCACTGACACCAAGCTTGGGCAGAAACATAAGCTCCTGTGCATGGGCTCCACAGCCAGCCTGCCACTGCCCAGGACCCCTTCCGTCTCAGGCCAGCGACAGGCTCGCACAGGCTCCCTGGCCCCCAGGCTCCCGCTGGACTCCCTTCTCTGCATGGGAGGGGCGTTAGGAGAGAGCTGTGCTCAAAGAAGCCAGGCTAGCGAACGGGGGTGTCCTCTGCTTCCCTCTCTCTGGCATGTGGGCCTGAGCCTTGGCTGAAAAGAATCGGGCAGTCACACTGCATGGTCACAGGTCCCCCAAGAGTGTTTCTAAAGAACCCAAGAAGGACGGCCGGGCTGGGAGCCCAGACGCAAGGTTCGGATGTGGGCAGGTTCCTTCCTGGGACCCTCAACCTTCCAACCAAGTGCTGCTCTTCACATCGAATAGTGTTGGCCGTTAAAGTGGTGGCCCACTGACAGCCCGAGGGGGGCGCTTCCCTGCCAGACCCCCCTCCCTGGGATGCGTGGGGAAGAGCCCAGTCCCTGACTTTGGAAGGAAGGAGAGGACAGGGCTTGGCTTACAGGCGTGGAAACCAAGGTGTGATTTTTTTCAGAGGTCCTCGGCAAGCCCACAGAGACCACCACCCCAGAAGCCCCAGCTACCTTGGCTTTCTACTGAAAGAGGGGGCCTCAGCCAAAGGGACACTCAGGGACCCAGGATGGATGGGAAGGGACACCCCAAAACAGAGGTGCCACTCTCTGCCAGAGAAGGTTCCTGTGGTCCTGGGCCATTCCAAGGTGGAGCTCTCGGAACCAACCCGCATTCTCCTTCCTTCCACCCGCACCATCTTCAGGGACCTCAGCTGTCCCATGTCAGCGGCCACTTTGGGAGAGATGGGGACCTTCAAGGGGTGTTTGTTTTTAGAAACACTGGTACACTTCAACTGAACTTCTGAGGCTGCCTTGGGCAGTCGAACTTGCAAGCATTGTATGGGACCTGAGAGAAATCTGATGGGGTAGCCCGTCATCCCGCAAAGCTAAGAGCCATTTAAAATTTTAAAATTTGAGGTCGAGTTCAATTTTAAAAACCACAATATCCCCCCCGGGGCCAAAACAGCCTCGGGGGCGACGCTAACTGGCAGATTTTTATTTCTCAAAAAACTTTTTTGAGTCCAAGGAAGAATCTATCACAGTGTAGATGGGGAAAGGGTCCCTTGCTGGATACTGGGCTGGTGTGAAAGTCGGGGCGTGGTCCACAGGGGGCTTTCCATGTCTACTGCTGGCTCTTCTGGACTCGAGGGGAGCTCCGCTCTGCAGCCCCCAACCCCTGGGGCCACCCAGGGCCCCACACCCCGCCCTTTCTCCCGACAGATGTTATTATTACTTCTCCATTCAATTCTCCAGATCCCAGTGAGAGTCCGGAGTAGCCCCAAGTGGGAGACTAGAAATGGGCAGAAATTATGTTACTTCCTCTTGCCATCTGTCAACCTGATCGTAACCTTAATCCGTTTATCTGGCTCTTCCTGAGCGATCAGGGTCCCCCATTCTTCCCCAGACTAGAGAACACCCCCCGTTCTAGAGTCACATTCTTTGACCTCACCTTTCCTGCATCCCTCTAATCTGCCATAGAAACGTCTCAATCCATCCATAACCCATTTTCCAAAGATTCCGTAAGACCTCTAACTATTTGGGAACATTGTTTTCAAGACCAGCTTCTTGGACAGCGGCTCACTTTTTTCTGTGGTCCCACAAAACCCAGGCCGCCCCCAACTCCGGAGCCAGGAAGTACACTGCTTGCAAGCCGTCCCGACAGCACCCTCCCCCTCCTCCTGGCGCCCGCCTGCATTTGCAGAATGTCCCCAGGCCAGGCCCCGTGCCCCCGGCCGCCCCCCCCACCTGTGGTTTCCCCTTCTCTCGTGACAGAGACGGTGCGTGCCATGACCCACGTCATTAACCAGGGGATGGCCATGTACTGGGGCACCTCGCGCTGGAGCTCCATGGAGATCATGGTACGGTGACCTCTCGGTGTGTGCGTGTCCCCCAGCTGGGCTCCCGGCCCCAGCTCCGTGGATGATGACTCCGGGGCTCTAGCAGGTTCAGTGCCGTTGGTCCCTAATGCACAGATAACTGGGTACTATGGGGAGGGACAGTATGGTGACACGTGGCAGTGATGTCCGCAGGTCTTGCAGACAGGGGTCTGGGCTTGAATCCCAGCGCTGCGTGGCCCCAGACAGATAGCTTCACCTCTCTGAGCCTCAGTTTCCCCACCTGTAGAACAAGACTGCAAGGACAGCCTACCCCGTCATGAGGCTGTTGTGAGGATTATCTGAGAGAACAGGTGTGAAGCTCTTAGTGGGGGTCCTGGAGCTCAGCCAGTGCTCAGCAGCGGTGACAGTGCCAGCCACCCTGCTGAGCTCTTGTGGTGTTCCAGGTGCTGTTAGATTTGAGGGCTTCATGAGGACTGACTCCCATTTAATCCTCACAATGCCCTATGAGGTAAGTGATACTGTTATCCTGTTTTTCAGATGTGGACATTGAGGCACAGAGAGGTTAAGTAACACACCCAAGGTCACACAGCCCATGCCAAGATGGATGCTCAGGCCATGCAGTTCAGAGCCTGGGCTTCCATCTCATAGTCCATGATGTTTCCCTCTCATCTGCACTTTCAGGAAGGCATCCCCTTCCTTGTCATTTCCCTTCACGGGAGCCATCAGTAGCTGAGGGTGACAGATGTTTCATAATATTTCTGGGGTATCCCAGAAGGGTCGGCAGGGTGGCTTCTCAGAGGCAGGCAGCTGGTTGGTGGGGGGAGGGCAGAGGCCTGGGGACTGCGTCTTCACAGGACTAGCTCTCAGGCTGGCGCACTCACCCCTGCCTCCAGGCCTCCTCCCAACCTCAGCCTTTCCCATGCCCCACCCACCAGAATGTCCCACATCCTGGCATCCCTGCTAGGGAGTTTCTCCTCTAGTGAGCCCCAGATTTCTGGTTCATCCAAAAAAAAAAAAAAAAATTAAGCAGGATTTTCATTTCAAGTTACAGACAATTTTAGAAGCCCATGGTATCAATCGGCCTTTGGAGTTTGCGGCATTAATGATCATTTGGCATTTTTCTGAAGCTGCCTGGACCCAGCACAGAGCTCATTGAGGTGTCAGGATCTCATCCCCACTTTACAGATGTGAAAGCTGAGTCTCAAGCTAAAGGGGAAAGGGCCTCTCAGGCTGGCAAATGGGCTTCCCCAGGAGCTCACACCCATCCGGTCTGCAGAGTGGAGGCCTTGACCCCCAAGTCCCAGAAATGGGCTGTTGCCGGCCACTTTCCCCTCCTGACCTAGTGTTTTCTGCTCCTGCCATCATCCTGGGTCCAGGCCCTAGAGTGTCAATCATGATAAAACCAGTAACAGGCAGGCACTTTCCTGAGGGCTGCCAACACTGTTGGCTCATTTGACCCTCATGACAAATGGGGAAACTGAGGCACAGGGGGGTGAACCCCTTACCCAAGGACACCCGGCCAGTAAGTGCCAGAGCCCAAGCCTCACTACTGAGTTGTGCTTTCCCCCCAAATCCCTTCAGCCTTGGGATCCCACAACCCACTCACTTTTCTCCACTCGTGGAGGGGGGCCTAACAGGCTCCCAGGAAAGCTGAGAGGACAGGGGAGGAGCAGGAGGGCCAGCCGTTCCTGGGGATGCCTTTGTGTCTTCTCCCTGCTGCCCTGGAGGCCCCTCAGAACCGCTGACCGGCAGGGACCCTCCATGCCCTTCTTTGCTTTTCCCAGGAGGCCTACTCCGTTGCCCGGCAGTTCAACTTGATCCCGCCCATCTGCGAGCAGGCCGAGTACCACATGTTCCAGCGCGAAAAGGTGGAGGTGCAACTTCCCGAGCTCTTCCACAAGATAGGTGGGCTCCCCTGCCCGGCCCCGCCCCCGCGCCTCCCCTCCCGG